GTGAATACAAGTAGTGCAGGCTCAGGAAAAGGCAGAATCAGTGTGGCGTGAGCCTGAGCTCCAGAAACAGCCCAAGAAATGGACTGAACCATGGAAAGAGCCGTTGCAAGAGACGCAGCCGGCCCAATGGCACGCTGACCTCCATCAGGTCGTGAGCTCTCCCTCATTTCAAGCATTTACCAGTTTTTCATGCCCTAGCAGTCCTTAGTGAAGACACAACTAAAAATAGAGGAGCGTGCTGCTCACGGAGAGTGCTCGACTCCCTGCCCCTCGTTAATAAATTCCAGGAGGCGCTGCTGGAAACCTCTATGTTTGGGTAGCAGGAGGAAGTTCAAGCCCTTGCACCAGCCTCCTAAACCAAACACGAACAGCCAGCTTGGCCAGAGACGCAGCTGTCACTTCAGCGGGGGACAAGCTCAGCTATGCAGCCTTTGTTGAAATAAACCCAAAAATAAGTTAGTGCCTCCTAGGGACCAGTACGAAGGCAGGGAGGCAGAAGAGCCACACCACAAAGGGTGTCAGTGGCTGATTTACTCCTTGCACGGATGAGAAGTCGAACTGCAGCGAGGAGAGGCTCTGGTCTATTTAAATAACACCAGGTAGGCGTTTTTTGAGCTGCAGCTTCTCCCCAGAAAGGCACCGGTTAGGTGAAGCCCAAAGGATGCTCAAGTGCAGATTTGACTCAATACTGTTACTTTCCCACTTTGGGCAAAGAGCATCCCTTCGCCTCAAAATACTCAGAGCTCCTTGGTTTGGGGAAGGAAAGTTTCAAGATCAGGGTTTATTTAGGACCAATGCATACCTAGCAGTAATTTAGAGCTACGTACCCGGCAGAGAGCCCCCCAGCCTGTACTAACACATCACTTCTAATCCAAAGGCCAGGCAGAAAATTCACCCAAGCCATGAACCCAGCACTAGACAACTGACAGCAGTTTGTTATTGCAGGCTAGACCTGCACATCAGCGAGGGACACCTGGCAAGACCTGACATTTGTTTAATTAAAATTTTAGCTATGGAGAGCAAATACAACCTCTAAACAGAGCACGGGCTACCTTATTTCTTCCCAAAATAAGAGCTGAGGCTCCACATCGCCTTGTTCCGTGCTGTTTCCCCTACCTGCTGTCTCCTTGGACCTTGCAGGGTTTGCCTTAAGCTACTAACTGGATCAGACTCATCACCCCGAGTCCTTTCTACAGATGATCCCACAACCTAATACAGCACAGCCAAAGTCTGCTGAGAGAGGCACTTCTGCAGGTGCGCAATGATTAATTGGTGCACATTTCCATATCACAAATAAAAAAAAAAAAGACTTCTCAGCTTTTGGCTGAGAAGAACTCAGGCTGGTTGAATTGCAGTATATTAACCTTTGAAACTGGCAGTCATGGATACCAGCTTCAAAAAGATTAATATCAATGGGACAAAATCCCAGAGGATAGCATCATGTTGCTGCCAGTTTTTCTGAAGCTTTACAAAATAAGGCATTTTGAGGCTTTATTTAAGGTCATATCTTTCCATGCTCATTTTATAAAGAAAACCCAAAGCAGTTCAGATTTATAGGCAGAACTGAAGTACTGGAGGAGGGGAGAAGGGGGGAAATCAGAAGCTGTAGAGGAAAGCTGTGGGTATGCATGGAGAGCCTGGGAGGAGAGGGGAGGAAGCATGCTTCATCTGAACTGTTGCCATTGTCACAGTTAATTGCTAAGAGTCGTCCTCTCTGAAAAAAGGTTTGTAACTGAAATAAATAATATAACTGTTAGTTCAGCACGTTCTGCAGGTCCACAGAGGCTGCAAGTTAACATGGTGTACACGGTAAATCTTTCCAGCAAGAGATGCAGCGACAGCTTTGAGATGCACACTAGCCGGATCTCACCCCTGCATTCAGCTTTCACCGCAGACTGCATCAGAAAGAAGCTAATAATCATTAAGCTGCCATCTTTTATTTCTAATTATTTGTCTCCACAGCAGGGTTCCTCCAACCATCAAGTAAAAGGGAAGCAAGTCTCAAAGGAGCAACTGTTTTGAAGAGGGCTTGCAGCTGCCACCACATGAATGGCTCTCCAAGAACAGTAGCAACTGCTACAAACTGCCCACAGAGCTAGGAGGAAAGCATCTCTGTTGAAGCTGTTTTTCAATGTTGGTTTTTAGGTCAACTAAAACAGCTTTTCTTATGCAACAAGAGATGCAGAAAGCTCACTTGCTTTTGAGTTTTCGCTTCCATTTAATTAGATGGTAATTCGGAAGGCAGCACTGCTATTTTAAACACCACAATGAGAACTATTTCACTATTTACAAACCGTTGAAGTGAAACCACGGAGCTAAGCCAGCCCTAGAACTTGACACCACATCGGATTCTGATGGTGTGGGACAAGCAAAAGAGATACCCTGCTACCACATTTCCAGGAGAGGTTCAAGGCAGAAAATCTCACTGAAAGGTGGAAAAGCAGGAGACCTTACTTGTTCTTCCTCTCTGAGCTACATGTTAATAAGAATTAAGGTGAGACCCCGAGTTCACAACGCAACTGCTGTTCAACGGCTTCATGAAGCAATGCCCTTCTCTAGGTGACACGTGAATTAAGGGATAGAAAGAAACAATTTCATGTACAGGTAAACTTTAAGATCACAACACGTGGCTCCCAGCATCACCAGTGCCAACGTATGGACAGACGCAGCCCAGCAGCAGCCCGTTAACGGACACACTGCGCTTACCACCTCCTTTGCCACAAAGATAGCTCTGAACACTTTTTCAGCCAGCGCGCATGACCTCACTTTGGATTTCTTGACAGGCTTCAAATAACGGCAACGTATGTGAATCTTAGCTCGAAGATCAAGAGCTCAACCTCAGACGTCACAGGCTCCTCTTGCCACACCTGCATGTTCAGCATTTTTCTTCGCGGTTTCTGCCCTCCAGTTTCTCACAGCACATCCCTTCATGGAAGCTGCTGGTGTGTTACTTTTAGAACCGATGCCCAACACTCTTATCACTCCAGGAGAGGAGATTCACTTACTACAGCTCCTAGGCATTTTATGTTTACCTAAGTGATAAGCCAGGCTTAAAGATGGAAAGGCAACCTGAGCCTGCCGATTTCTCTGCTGGATGAAGGTCAGGGCTGTCCCTGATCCAGTGAAACTGTACCACACAACCTTTATCTTTGCCATCGCTAACAAGGTACCACTTAGCTTTCTTGTTTGCTGACCAAGATTAATACCAAGTATTCAGCAAGCAGCAAATTTCACCTCATATCAGGGTCAAAATCCCCAAAGCCTGTAATAAGCAGGACCATTGAAATGCAATTCTCTACTCTCTGTGCAGTACATGAAAGACAACAGACCGCTTGCGCAGACAAAAGTCGCAGTGAGACTGCTCTGGGTAGAGCAAACCAGGGTTGTTTGGGTTACCAGCCTTCCCCAAGGAAGAAATTCACCCTTGACCAGAGACTTGTCACACAGTGATAACCAGATGGGTGACTGCATCCTGCTCAAGCACGAAGGAGGAAGACCCTGCTGCCGCTCACCTGATCCAGGACACCTTGGCACAGCTACAGCCACTGCGCTGGGAGAGGCATGCCTCTCGCTAACCCACTCCGACAGTCACGCAAGTGAGCACTTGCATTTTGCTCCAAACACGACCTCCCAGCCTGCATTTCTTGCAGTTACACCTTCTGTGCGGAGGAGTTTTGTTCTGCATTCAAATGACTGCTGGGTGTTTGATGGGAGCTCAGCACCTCTGATCAAGGCAGGTTCTCCAGTTAATTAATGATCCTTCTTTTAGAGACTTGGTAGCAAAGAAGAGCTCATTCAGAACAGGAGACAGCTGCTCAGCTTCCAAATATAGTGCTTCACTTACTTCTGTGTAAGAACAACAGGTTTATGCTTGGATTTGATTCATCTCTCCTGCCCTCCCCTGTGAGGCATGGTATAATAATGCTGAGTTTAAGAATAAAGCAATCTGTTCCCAGCACCTTCCTCTGCTTTCCCTTCAAGTCTTTCATCAGTGACTGGCAGTACATCGAGCGCCCGGGCACAGCGCAGAGCTGCTCTAAATACACTCAGTCCTTTCCGTTACTGAGAGAGAAGAGGATATTACTGGGGAAGCGGGGGTAATGGACAGGAAAGGGGAAAGCTTAGCAGGAGAATACTTTAAGTTTAAAGAGGGGGAAAAAAAAAAAAAAGGTCAATTAAAAGCCAAACAAGTTTCCAGAGACAGCAACCTCAATGCAAAGGCACCACTGCATCCAGAGAACCAGCTTTACCAAGGAGAGACCCCTTTCTTTCCTCCACCCTGAGCACACACACCTTATTTTAAGAGGCACAGACAGCCCCTCACAGCCAGGCTCAGGGACAGCCACCAAACCTCTGCTGGGAAACCACGAGAATCCACCCCACCAGGACGATCTTCCCTCTGTGCAAAGCAGGATCTCCGTGAACGCAAGCTGGAAACATCAGTGCCTGCTGCACTCCTCCAAGCTCGACACGCATTTCCCCTCCTCTCCTGCCAGACGGGCCTCAGACTCCTCTCTGTGCCCTGCAATGCCCCGGGTGTCTGCAGGTTTGCAAAGGGGAAGCCAGCCCAGTGCTGCGCTCCGGCCTTCAGAGAGTCCCTTACACAACCACGGCACTGATTTACCATCAACAGCTGTCAGGAGGCATCTGGGGAGAAACAGGGAGCATTGCTTTCCACTACCAAAAATATTTTCACTTCCATTTGCTCACTTGCTGGCGCTTAGCATGCTTTTATCGCCGGGTCAGCGCTCCGCAGGCCAGGCTGGCAAGAAAAACTACTGCTGGGGGCTTTTTCACACTATAAACTTCGCCTGGAACTTGCTAGATGAAGTGCTTTTCAATATCCAAAATCTTCACGCACACACAAGATAAATCCCACTGTTTGATAACAATCAATGCTCCAGAGTTTAAGACAGAATAAACAAGTCAGTTCATTATTTAAGTCCAAGCGATTCATTTCAGCTATTTCCCCTCACTGATCTAACGAAGCAGGTACTTACCCAGAGATGAGACAGCCGGGCAAACCACGCAGGCGAGGCACCAAAATCCATCACGGGGCAGTGTATAGAAGAGAAAGGAGAAGAGACACTAGTTAATAAGCAGTTCCAGCTAAACATGAAAAACCCCACACACCCACCAGAAAAATCCCTCAAGCCACAAAGCCAAGTGCTCACACTTGTATTTTACATGAGCGCTGCAACAGAGTTCACGTAAGCGAACTTCAGTGTCTGACTCTTCCCAGAACTGAAGGTGGAACCGGACGTTCACGTTGAGCCACTTCTTAGAAATGTAAACACCAAGTGGGGAAGGAAAAAAAAAAGCCAAACACGACATTAGCCTGACATTACTTAATGCTGATAATAACAGCGAGCGGTGACGCAGGCATCCCGTGCCTGCCAGCCTCCAGCGAGTACAGCC